GTATGTAGGTTTTAAAGTAATCATTACTTTTTTTAAAAAGTTTTTTTAGTTTTAACTCTTTAAAGAGTAGTTTCTTGTTTTAGCTTGTTTCTTTAGTTTTTGTGAAGTTTGTTTATTAATGCACCAAAACTTCTGAGTGCTAACTATGCCCCCAGCACTAATCTGGACAAGACAGTCATGGTCTCCAAGCCCACGGGACCTGTGTCTCCTTATGTAGTCAAGGGGAGGAGAGCTGGGAGAAAAGCAGTTAAGCAGTAAATACTCATCTTTTCTCATGTTCATTAGCTTTTGTGCTTACTCTATGAATTGCCTGATTCATATTCTCTACCTGATTCTCTGTCAAAGCTGTTTATCTTTTTCTGACTGATTGGCAGGAGTTCATTGTCTATTTTGACATCCAATCCTTGAAAAAAGTCATTGTTTGGTAGATTAGTGTTTGATGAAGACAAAGAGTATTTTGGAAGGATTTCCTGAAAAATATGTAGGGTGTCTGTTCCTATAGGTGATCTGTGATCTTATCCTTGAGTTTCACAGCGCCAGTTGGGACCTCTGGACAGTACGTGGCAGCCTGGCCTTGTACTCTCTAGAGTTGCTTTTGCTGAAGTTTGCTTTGGCATTCTGTTGTCGGCTGGGAATGAGTGATGCTATTCAGAGCAGCCCTCTAAACTTTGATTTTACTTACTGTAAAAATGTTATTGTGGACATTGAGAACACCTGGGAGAAATTTCTTTCTCATTTCAGTCCCAGGAACCAGGAATGGCTGGTGTATGTTCCTCCCTGAGCAATGATTTCTATTTATCTTATGGGCAATGAATCACACAATTTATTATTTTTTGTTTCATGTTGGTTTGTTATAAAGCTTATAACTGAATTCTTGGCCCCCCTTTGCTACCTGTAAATGATGTAATTTCAACTTGTTTTGTGTTCTACCCTGACTTCTAGTCTTGCCTTTATTTTTTTTTACTTATATATATTTTTACATTTGAAATATGTCATTTATAGAAAAGTTCAAGAATAACACAAAGAATTTCCATTATATCCTTCACTCAGATTCCCTTAACAGTAATGAATATTTTTCTACATAGGTGTTTGTTCTCTCTCTCAAATCAATAAAAATAAATAAATAAATCCATTTTAAAAGATTTGAAAACTAAAGTTAGAGATCAAGTAACTGATCTAAGTCACAGTAGTGGTCAAGCTGCTATTTGAACCCAGGGTTTAAGCACAATTTTAAGATGCAAAATCAGATCAGCATACCTTTATTGTGTTAATGAAAAATATTAAATTGAAACCCAGCTCATAATTGTATATGAATTTTTCAAAAATATCTTTTTATTGATTTCAGAGAGGAAAGAAGAGGGAGAGAAACAAAGGAACATTTTATGAGCTAAGGATAGCAGTCCTATATTAAAAATTTATCTTAAAAAGCAGTCTTCAGAAATGCAAATAGGTAGTTTAAATTCTGGTCAGACATGTAAGCACACTCTAAGGTAAAAGAAGCAGTTTTAATTGAAAGAGAAGAAAAATATAACTATGGCTAATACGTTTGATGTATGGCTTTTTACTTTTATTTATTGGATATTGATGAACATACTTGATTTCAGATTCTTCTTAATTCTTACTATTAATTATCCTCTTAATTATTCTATTATTGCCATGTGAATTTTACATATTTTGGTAGACTTCCATGAAAATTGGTAGCAGCCACAATTATATACATACTAGAATGCACAAAATTCGTGTACAGGGTGGGGAGGTGTCCCTCAGCCCAGCCTGAACCCTCTCCAATCTGGGACCCTTCGAGGGATGTTAAACTGCCCATTTAAATGGGCAGTCGGGCATCCCCTTCACAATCCAGGACTGCTGGCTCCCAACTGCTCGCCTGCCTGCCTTCCTGATTGTTTCATATGTCCATTGAAAATAATCTTACTTTTTTGCTACTAAATAAAACTGATAAAAACATGTGAAATTATAAATTTTTCACGTGAAGGGGAGAATTAATAGAATATAAAAAATTTTAATTTATGTACTTATTTTCTAGACCAAGATCTCATTAAACCTTTAAAATGACATAAAACAAGTAACTCCATGCTAGATCTCAAGGAAGTTATCAGTTGCTTTACAAAAACTATAGTGTGAACAGTTTCTACATTTGGTATCTTTGAAAGTCGAACCCACTGGGGATCGGGGCCATTTGTTAACGAAAGTACAAGAAAAAATATTACTGTGGGTATATTTCATAGAACCCTAGAATTAGGAGGGCCTTAGATATAATCTAACCCACTTTCCCCATGTTTCAGATGAGGAAACTGATACCCAGCTCTCAGTGACCTGCTGAAGGTCACAAGTATGTAGAACTGGGGTTTTATTACAGACCTCTAACCTGGACCATGCATCTTGCAATCAATATTAATGTAAAACTGAGAGTCTGGGTATCTGCTGTGTCACGCAACCATTTTACTTAATATTTGTACTCATTAAGTTTGGGTTTCTCTCCCTTGTTAGGGCATAGTTTCTCTGTTCTGCAGGCATACAAGTAAATTTTTGCAGTTAAAACCTTTTAGAATAATATAAGTGTTAGCAACTCTTTGTCTTTGTATCTACTACAGAGTCCTTCGAATCAGGGAAAGTGACACCTCAGGCTGAGTGCAGATGTGAAGTAGCGTGTAATTAGATTGCACTTGTGGAACAATGAGTTCAGAGTCAGGAGTGGCTCTGGAACCTGAAGTTCATTTACAAACTGTTTTCTAAAGCTAAGGACCCGATATGCCCTTCAGCTAGAAATGTCTACAGGATCGTGGACATGATCTTGAAATGTATAGGAAACAAAACAAAAAATAAATTTTTCTACCTTTATGCAAAATTATAATGCATGAAATACTGGAAATAATGGAACTCTTCATTTTCAGATTCTACAATTTATTCTTTAACTTGCTGGCGAAATACATCCACTCTATACACAGTTTGTTTTTAAGACAAAAGTTTCAAGGGATTCTAGAACTCCTGAGTTATCTTTTAAAAACAGTGTTCCTTGTGAACAAAATACCAATCTAAGAAAATTTGGATTCCACTGTTGTCTCCTCCCCCACCCCAGCCTTACCTCCAACCCCACCCCTGCCCGGGAGTTGCTAGGAATATAATAGGCACTTGATTCCTGCTTATTTGAATCTCATTTGAATTCGCTGTGATCTTGTTACCATTGTGCATGTTTCAGACTCCCAAGTTGCAAGTTGGAAGAAGACCCATTCCTTGCCCGCTCTTGTAAGATGCCTTAGAAAGTAGGACCATTATAGGACCAGTACACGCTCATGTTATAAAAAGGAACCTAGTCTTGGTCAGAATGTGCTGGTTTCCTTAGGGTGCTGAATGCTTGTAGCCACGTAAGCAAGCCCATGTGTAATCCTCTGCAGCAGAAACAGTCTGTTCCACTAGGAGTGCATTCTTTCTCTCCCCTTAGTTATAATTTCTCTGTCAACCGCTTTCACCTCACCAAAAGAAAATCTTTGAACTGCTTTTAAAATAACTACCATGTTTAACTTGCGCAGCTACCAAATCATGTCTTTTCCCATCTTTCTCATTAAAATTCTCTAAGCAACATTGGTCTTAAATTTACAGCGGCATCTATTCATTCAAATTAATAGATACAGTTACACTAACATAATATTTAATTATAACAATAAAATCTAAAATTTGATTGAATGTCTGTTATGTGCTAAAGGATTAAAGTTCAGAACTAAATTTATTTCGAGGACAAGGGTGTAATTTTGATAGTGAAACAGAACTGGCAATGTAATTGTGCATTTGTTAGAATGTTGTGTAATTGGCTGTGCTGCGTAGCTTCTCATGGTGAGCTAATGTAATTGTGGTGTTTGGCAGCTCTTCTTTTGTTACTTGCCAGATAGGTTTATATTAGCCTCCATGAGTCCTTAAACCTACATTTGTATAGTTAATTCTCTGAGTCACTGTGAATATTTTTAAATGGTGGCATACTACTGATCATTGTACGTATAATGATATGAAGTATAGATGATGCAACAATTCCTGTTTTTTAAAGGGAATTTACTATTTTTTATATCTTGCTACAGAATTTCAATTTCTACCATCAGAAGTATTCAGTGTTTATATGTTTATGGTGCCATACAAATCAAATGGGTCTTTTAAGAACTTAAAATCTAAGGGGTTGGGGGCAGGGTGAAGAGAGTAAAGGGGGTCAAGTTTATGGTGATGGAAGGAGACCAGACTTAGGTGTTGAACTCACAATGGAATTTACAGATGATGTACTATAAAGTTGTACACGTGGAACTTATTAATGTTATTGACCAATTAATAACTCAAATAAATTTAATTTAACCAATCTAAAGTATCTAAAGGGATGACTATTACTAAACTTTTTTTTTTTTTAGTTTACATGTGTATTAAACAAACCCTAGATATTGGACAAATAGCAAAAAAGGTTTAGACAAATGAATTTCTCTGTGAGTACAACCAGGAAGAGAGAATTTGGCTATGGGCTCAGAGAAACGAATTTTAGCATTTGCTTTTTGGAGAAAATCATTTTATGTTTTGCTTGATAAAAAGAGGGACATACATGTAAGATTTGGCATGTATCAAAATTCTTGAAGAGTTAATCCAACATAAATATAAAGAAGCTTACATGATTTATTTGAAATCTCTTTCAGGACTTCATTTCATTTATTATATTTATAATGGTTTCCTAGTCCTTTCCTTTCACTGTGGGTCAAAAAGCATTGCCCTTGAGAAATCGTTCCGTTACATAATATTGCTGTATTTGGGGGAGCATAATATATTAAGATACAGGAGTATAGAAGTATTGTTTTTAGGAGGGGGAAGGGACTTCGCTATGGAATGGGTCTGAAAATAAGCTAATAAACATGGGTTGAATGTATTTGGGTAATTAAACGTACACCGAACCTGAGGCCTGGTACTTGGTTTTCCTAAAATGGGTTGCTCACTACTTTCTTCCCCTCTACTTCCCTCAGGAACCCAGTTTCCTCCAGTGGCAGCACAGGACCTGCCGTGTGTTTTTAAGGCTGGCTACCTTGAAAAACGCAGAAAAGGTAAACTGAGGTTCTGATGAAAAATCTAAAAATGGTTTTATCCTTGAATAAAAGATGCTTGCCGTGTTCGTGTGGAGCCAGTGTTCTCGTTAGGTGATTGAAGAGTTTTAAGACTCTGAGAAAATCTGGATGACATTATCCAAACCAAAAAGAACAGCTTTTAGCTCTAAATAATGTTTATAACAAACATTTGCTAGGTTTTTAGTTATCAACCCCAGTCATTTGTAATGATTCAGGGGCTGTCCCTGCCTGTCAGAGGAAGGCGTGGGCCGTGGCTGTAATCTCAGGGATGGGATTTCTCCCCGCTGTCCCCCACTGAACCGCAGGTTCTCCTGCGCCTCACCTGGCCCACAGCGTGCCTGGCCTGTTTTCCACCATCTTCTATTCCTCATCCAGCGTTCCTCTCCACTGGCTATGATCATTGGGAGTTGACCATATGGTCTCACTCTTTCAACACCAATATATAATGGAAATGAAATACGGAGGAGGTGTGATGATATGGGAAATGAAAAGCAGAAAGTCTCTCCATTCTCATTCTGCTTATCTCTCAGGGACTCCCTTTGGGCCTTTCTATTTATATTCCATTTGCTTTCCTTCGCTTTTTAAGCTGACTTTGAAAGCTGAAAGAGATAATAGAAATAAGCTAGGCCAGCTCCTCCTCCTCCTTTTCATAACAGATGAGAAAATGAGACCCAGATGAATCCATTATCTGCAGGCTGTGGACGGTCCCCAGCAGGAAAGTTTGTTCGCGTCCTGTTGACCCCATAACCATGGCAGCTCTGGCCCTGCCTCACTTTACTCCTTTTAGTTTTGTTCTTATCTCTTGAAAAGAAGATACAAATGAATCAGTCCTAGAATTTTAGAGCTAAACAGGAACCTTAGAAATCATATTAATTAACATATACTTTTACAGTATAGAACTGCCTGGCTGGCGTAGCTCAGTGGTTGAGCATTGTCCTATGAACCAGGAGGTCAGGGTTCAATTCCCAGTCAGGACACATGCCCAGGTTGTGAGTTCAATCCCCAGTAGGGGCCGTGCAGGAGGCAATTGATAGTTCTCTCTCATCATTGATGTTTCTATATCTCTCTCCCTCTCCCTTCCTCTTGAAACCAACAAAAGAAATACATTTTTTAAAAAGAACTGTGGCAGAAACCGGTTTGGCTCAATGAATAGAGCGTTGGCTTGCGGACTGAAAGGTCCCAGGTTCGATTCCGGTCCCCAGTAGTGGGTGTGCAAGAGGCAGCTGATTGATGATTCTCTCTCATCAATGTTTCTAACTCTCTATCCCTCTCTCTTCCTCTCGGTAAAAAAAAAAAAAAAAAAAAAAAAAAAAATCAATAAAATATATTTTTTTAAAAAGAAGAAGAACTGGGGTTACGTTTACATATGTTGAGTATATTATCTAAACTGTTTCCTGTTCCCCTTTATTGCAGATCACAGCTTTCTGGGATTTGAATGGCAGAAACGGTGGTGTGCTCTCAGTAAAGGCGTGTTCTATTACTATGGAAGTGACAAAGGTAGTACTGGTGTTCCGTTATCTGAACTTCTGTTGCATGAGGGCTTGGGAGCTATGCTTCACTTCTCTCCCGTGGGTCCCTCCCCCCACCCCTTTTTTTCTTTTTTTGGTACAGAGTAAACTGAAAACAGATGGAGATGGAACAACTGAGAACTTTAATAATTATAGTCTAAGGTTGATTTATAATTCTATCTCATTATTTGACAAATTCTCCAAATTCCAGGATGCTCTAAAAGTTAATACAATTACGTTTTATTGAATTAGCAAAGAGAGTAAAATAACTCTCTATGTGGACTTTCACTGTAGGAAATATTTGTCATCCAAGCTATAGTTGTAGAATCTCTGGAGAAGTTAAAACCATTAGGATTGTGAGAGTGTATCTGTTTAAGCACTTCAACTATATTAACTTGTCTGTGCAGTAAGATACTATTATTAATCCCATTTATTTTACTGTTTGAAAAACTGAGAGCAGAGAGGTTAAGTAGCTTATTCATGGTCACAGAGCAGGTAAATGGCAGATCTGGGCTTTGAACTTAGGCATAATGGTTAGAGTCCATATATTAACCACTATTGTTACTAGAATTAATTTAGTTGATAGTTTGCATTCTGTCACTAATTTACAATATGTTCAAATGTAATAATGGCATCAATGGAATATAAACTATAAATAACTATTAACAGGCAGCCTTCCTTAATTTAGAGCCCAAGTTTAGTTATGATTATCATACATCACTTACGTGCATTACTATTATAGAAATACTAGAGGCCCAATACACGAAATTTGGGCAAGGGGCTTGCAGCCCCAGCTTTGTCTGGAAGGTCGTTCAGCTATCCGGTCTAATTAGCATATTACACTTTTATTATTATATATTTTTTACAGCATCATGAATTGGGATCAAAATCTTACTTTTCTATAAAGAAATACCCTTAATTTTATAAGACCAGAGGAGGGAGGTTGCAAAACCTTATGGTTTGGTTTAGTTAGGCTTCTCACTTCTAATTTCTTTCTCAAGCAATGAATACTAATGTTCGTATCCTCCACCCCGTCCTAACTGGTATATACCAACTCTTAGGGCAGGGATTCACCACTTTCCCAAAAACCCAAGGAATGTTTATGCTTATTTCAAAGGCTAATGTTCATTAAATAAATTCTAGGGCTTTTTTGAGTGGTGCTGGTGGGTATCTTGTTTGTTGAAACCTTTAGGTAACAACATTCTTTGTAATTTGTGTTTTTAACTGCTCTGTGATCAATTTAGCCAGCTTTACCACCACGACTTTTAAAAAATTATTCCAGCATCCCTTTCTTCTGTGGATGCTTGAAGATCTGGTTTATATTTCTTTAAATTCTTCCCTGTCTGTTACTATGAAGCCTCCTGTTTCCATGGAGATTTCAAATCTGTTTTTAGTGGTTCTTTTCTCTGTGGCTTTTTCCTTTGGGATTCTTGGCTGCTCTTTCCCTTTTAGGGACTGGGGGGAGGGAGAATCTATCTTTAGGCAGTTTATTATAATTGCTTGTTTGTCATGATCCCAACGTCCTTCCTTTTCTTTTTCTTTCCAGGAAAATGGATGTGTCCTATGATTTTTTTTTTCTCATGTGAAATTGGGTAAACGATTTGTACAGTCTTGTTTACCATTCATGCGAACCATTTACCTAAACTTTGGAAAGAGCTATTTAGATATATGAGAACTATAATCCTCCAACTAAGTAGGATTTAGATAAATGGCTTAGAGAGGCACAGAAGGAGTTGATACACTTACTAGGTTAAATTGTACTTGGTTACTGCTTGACAGATACATTGTTCATATTTGCTAACATACTGTGTGCGCCAAAAACCATTTTGACCCATCAAGATAGTAATGGCTTAGAAAGAGTAGTTCCAGTCTCAAGGGTAAAAAAAAATACACTTACCTTTATATCCATAAATATTATCTGTATTTATTATTCATGGCCATTTGGAGAGAGAGAGAGAGTACATATTTCATCACTTCATAAAATGGCATCCATCCTTTCATCTCCTTCCTCTTCCTTTGATTATTTGAATCTCATTCATCAAAATTGTTTGGTCCTACGTGTTGAGACTTCCATCAAGGTAGTCACTCATTCATTCATTTCTTTATTTGATAAACGTCTATTGGATACGAGGCACTGGGAATCCTAAGACAATCCTGCCTTAGAGGCCCTCACAGTTAAGAGAGGAAGAGAGGAAGTTGTGCGATTAGAAATGGGGCTGAATGGATGAACCGATCATTTCAGCCAGGAGTAATAAGTGATTTAAATAAAGTCTCTTTGGATCACAAAGGAGGGGAGGCTGACTGCCTAGGGGAGTGAGGGAACACTTTCTGGCAGAGAGGACATCGGCCTTAAATAATGAGCAGGAGTTTGTCAGGTGATGAAGGGTACAGTGGGCCTTCCAGGCGGGGGAACAGCAGAGACTGCGAGTTGCAAAAAAATCCTTGGATGAGATCAAAGAGATCAAAGCTGGAATCAAGGCAGAGCACAGAGTGAGTGAGGGGCGGGGGCACAGACAGCTCAAAGAGCGGGTCAGGATCTGATTAAGCCTGGGCTTCATGGCCAGATTTAGTTTTTAGGAAGCCACTGTATTAGTATTGTGGGATGGATTGGAATGGATAGAGAACCGGTCAACGGAATCATGCCAAAGGATTCTGAACAGAGAGGCAGGAGAGGTTATCCCAGGGCTGCTGAGAGGCAGACCTCGCTGGCTCCACAGTCATGCTCTTCCACAACCTGGTTACGATCAGCCCCTCAGCATGCCTGTGAAGGATGCTCATCGAGGAGCCTGTTGCAAACTCACATCTTACTTTGGTTTCCCCTTTTTCTTTTTAACCGCCATATGATCTTGGATCCGCATAATGAGCCTTACTTGTCTCTTCTCACTTTTGAAAGGGGAGTGGTTAGTTTGTAATATTTTCTTTTCTTTCCACTAAAGAGGTTTTGGTGCCCCTACCCTCCACTCTCCAAATTAAAGAAACTCTTCGCGTGCCGTCGGTCCTACCAAATCATCCTAAATGCATCTCAAAAGTTATTTATTACACCGGGTGGGTATAACTTTTTTCAGTGTTGTGTCTTTTCTAATGACTAGAAGTCATTAGAAAGTTGGGCTTAATACAAATAATTTGAAATAAAACATTTAGGTTGACAAGGAAATAAAATTTTTATTGAAATTGACCTCTGCTCTCTCTCCTGCCACAACCTCACCATTGATGGAAAAATAGGATATATCTCTCTGTTCAGTTTGGACAGAAATTATAAAGTGTCTTGATGTTGGAATAACACCAAAGTTCTCTTTGAATATTTAAAAATATTGTTAAAGGACAGAGTGTATGTACAAACTGGAAGTTCTATTGTTTTATAATGACAACTTTAGTAATAGCCATAACAGCTTACCATTTCCCCTGACTTAGTTGATAGAGGCAAATTGCTGGGTCAAGGCACCAGCATGTTATAATTATATGATAAATATGTATAAAATGTGTATATGAAATCATATTTTTAAAATTTATAGTATAATTTCGTTTGTGTAAAGCAGGATATTATACCTTTGTTATTCTTTAAGATGGGGGAATAGTTAATTCTACTTTTTATTAGAATTATTGCAATTTTATAGGCTTTGAGGCCTTTGATATGCACATATTAACTTTATAATTTATCACAATAAAATGTGAAATAAAAGGCCTTTATTTCTGCCTTTATATGTAATTAAGGCCTTGTAAAATGTACACCTGATATTCGATAGGATTTTATCAACATGAAGAGATATTCAGGTACAAATTAAGTCTTAGGAAGGGTCTGATGGTGACAAATCATGTTTGCATAAACAGGATTCAGTTTGAATTAAAATATATCTACTTCCATATATAGGTTGAAGATATATAGAGATTGAAAGTAGATACATTTTAAATCAAACTGTGCACTGCTGCAACTATTATGGAGATACAGATATATGGACGTTGCTGTACCTATCTGTGTGCACATATAGAGATGGATAGATGCAATGTCCAGCAGCCCTTCTTTGAACATCTGTGTGTCAGGTGTTATTAATACAAAGCGGCATGATACATTGGCTCCGAGGAGTGGGCACAGAAGACCCATAAAACAGTAGGATATGTAGAAGCTGGCTCACGGGGCAAGAGGTGAGTGAAGGCTCTCAGCCAGGAAGGGATGGGGTCCAGTTGTTATATGTCAGGAGTCTGGCCTTCCCTGTCTAAGGGAAGTAAGTTTGTAAGCATTGAAGATTAGTAGATGGCATGAGAAACTCTGATTGGGTGTTGGCAAGATCACATTGACAGGTGTCAGGAGAAGGTGAGACCGAGGCAAGGTGTGTTCTGAAGCTGAGAGTGGCTGAGAGGTTGTACCAGCTCACACGCGTGAAGGAGCTGCAGGTTATCTGAAACGTGTTAGCTACTCTCCCTTTGCACACGGAGCAGCCGGACCCTTTATTCTCTCATTATTGCAGGTGGGGTATGAAGATGTTCTCTGTGTAATGTTTATCTTAGCAATAGCTATGTGCTGCGGTCATCTAATAGACCAGTGGTCGGCAAACCGCAGCTCCCGAGCCACATGCGGCTCTTTGGCCCCTTGAGTGTGGCTCTTCCACAAAATACCACGGCCTGGGCGAGTCTATTTTGAAGAAGTGGTGTTAGAAGAAGTTTAAGTTTAAAAAATTTGGCCCTCAAAAGAAATTTCAATCATACTGTTGATATTTGGCTCTGTTGACTAATGAGTTTGCCGACCACTGAAATAGACCATATCACAATTATTACCTGAATTTCAGTTGTAGAGAAAAACAATAGGTACAGTAAAAAAAAAAAAAAAAAAAAAAAGGAGAAACGGGGCTTTACATTCCTGTTCTACAGAAAGGCCTATAATATATCTGTTCTCTTATTTACAGATGCTTCATACTATCGCGTTATTAATCATGTTTATGCCTGTGGTTGAAAATGTGTGGCTGTTTAAAAAAACAACCACTTGATTTTTATTTTAAAGAAATAAAAATGTTTGGGAAGTTCCTAAAATTTCCTCTACCAGATCATATGAGCCAAACTCTCAATTCTAACGAGCATGCTTCCCTTTGAGCCCATAAATATCACCTGTGTTTATTATTCAGAGCCATTTGGGACCTTTAAATAAAAAACATACATAATTTGATATTTCCTCACAGTATAACTCAAAACACCACAAGTATATTGCTGAATTAACATGAGCAGCTGTATGTCTATGAGCTGTATCAACAAGGAAAATGTCCCTATGTCTTTAACTGAGGGCCTAGAACAACTTGTTGATCAGTTTGGTAAAGTTTTTTGGAAGGGTTTAGTATTAAGGTATGTACTTTCCTCTTGCCTGCTAATTAAATGAGCATTAATACTTATGGAAATAGCATGAGTTATCCATAAGGGGGAAAGGTCTCAAATACAAAAAGCAGATATCGAAAATTTCTGAACACATTGCATATCTTTCTGTTCCCTAGTCATTTGTCCCAAGGTAGCATTCTTGGTAAAAACAATAGAAACTTTGTTCAGCGACATAGAAAAGGAGATTAACGGGAGAATATCAACTCTCAGACAGTATTGATAGGAAGGCTAAACAACCAGGCTGAGAAAGCAGGCAGGGACTAAGGGAGGGAAGATGGCCAGGACTTCAGCCCCGGCGTGGCCTCTGGGAGACACATTGCCAGGACACACGGCTGCCTGTGATGCTGCCATTGTGCACCTGCTCCAGTCGTGAGTGCCTCTGCCCTAAGGATGGATTCTGAGCGCCCTCGGATTCTTCTGTCACTCCAGGCTGGAGTATCAGCTCGGCTAATCGGATCAGGGAAAATCTACCTCATTCCGGCATCTGTGGGGGGAAGCTGGCTGTGCCCTGACAGTCCCAGGACTAGCATGGGAAAGCTACCAGGGTTTCAGGGATCCGCAAATGGCGAATGCCCACTACTTACAGGAGTGCTGGGTGATTCGGCATGGTTTAGTCATGTTTATACTGTATGTGAGATGGTAGGAAAGTAGTTGGTGTTTTAAGCATATTTTCTGAGAGCCAATAAAGAAGAGAAAAGGAAATATATTTGCAAGAAAAATAGAGGACTGATTGGATTTTGGTAGGTGGGTGGAGAGAGGAAACATGGGGACAGTGGATGGATAATGATGTTTAGTTTTCTGGTTTGGTGGCTCCGTTAATGGAGGTGCCACTTACTGGAAGGAGGACAGAAAAGAAGGATCCCAAGTGTTCTTTCTTAAAGTGATCTCCACCGTGGGCACGGTATATCATTGTGCCTACAGGACATTTTACGAACTAGTGAGCAGATGAAGATTTGGATGTGCAGCTCTGAAGCTGGGCTAACATGGGAATTTCGAGTCACAAGCATGTTGATAGGAATTTAATCCTTGGGATGAGGTGCTGTGCCCAGTGAAAGTGGGGTAGACAGGGATTTAGAGCATAACCCTCATGGCTGCATAAGAGGTGGGCGCTGGGAGAGGAGCCCATCAAGCAGTTGAGGACATTAGACCCAAGTTGCAGAGGAAATGCAAGATCATGTTTATCTTCTCTACTGAGACTTCCGAATTACCTGTTCTAGATTCTAGAACAATCGTTTTTCAAGCTTTACATGTCTATCAAAAGCACCTGGTGTGCTTGTCAAAAGTTTGGTTTCCTTGAACCGCCTCTAGAGATGCCTAGATAGCAAGTGCAGAGTGGCAGCCATGTCTGCATTTTTAACCTGCATCCAAGATGATTGTAATGTAGGTTATACTGGACATGTGTCCTGAGAAACACCGTTCCAGGAGACAGTGTGCCAGCAAGGCTTTGGAATCAGACTTAGGTTAGGGTCCTGGCTTTTACCACTTCCTGGTTGTGTGGCCGTGAGCAAGTTGGTTACTTTCAGGCTTGTTTTCCCATCAGTGCTGGAGATATAATAAAGACCTCCTCTCTCTCAGAATTATTACAGGGTGTTTAGGAGATAGACTCCATTAAATTCCTGGCATACAGAAGGAGCTCAGTAAAAGTCTGTTGTCTTTTTTGACACTTGAAAAACCCAGTACCCAGCTGTAAACCTAAAAAAGAAGGAAATAGCTATCATCAATCTCATGCATTTTGTTCTGTAAGAGATCAGAGCCACCTGCTTTTTATCTTGAGCCTACTGAATTAGAATTGTGTAAAATTAAGTTACTGATTTAATAGATTTCATTATCTAGGTTTCTCCTGGCAGCCTTTGGTTCTATAGACATTAAATTCCAACAGCATATAGGCAAGGGTAAAGTGTGAGATAGAAGCAGAGGGAAATGTAATAGAGGGACAAATAACAAAAGTCTTGAGGGCATCGATGAGTTGTAACAATATAAAAAATAACTTTCAAGTTAATACTACTAAATCATCAAGGAAATGTTAAATTATTTTTAAAAGAATTGTTTGGGAAGTGGGGAGATACATACTTCAGAAAGATTTCCATTATAATTACTAACATTTTAGAGCTTGGGCACTTAAAGGAATAACCTTCTGATATTTGGGAAGTTCACTGAAGTGAAATACTTTATGCATCTTTTAAAGTCTGGGTAGATGAACTTCTATGACCGTATTTCTCTTGTGTTACTAATTTTAACAATTTGCCTCAAGTCAATAGGTGACCTTGAAACTATCCCTGCACTGGGGAGCTAACCTATTTATAAATTATTATATTAAGAATTGCCATTGGATGCTAAGGTTTCTCCTTTGTCTCTGTCTCAAAGAGAGGTTGATGTGAAAGAAGACCAGGGTCTTATAGCCATATTTTGCTCATTTTGTGTCTTGAGCTTCCTATCTCACACTGGCTAATTGAAAATATGGCTACTTCATGGTTATGGATTTGCAAAAGCTCTTGAGAAAGAGTAATGAATGTCCCTGCATTTTCTTCAGTCTTTTTGGTACTATACTCCTACCCCCACTTAGATGTTTATATGATTATTTATTCTCTAATACTCAACGATCAACTGAATAGGTCGAGGTATAAGTTGCTTCTGACTACTTCCATGTCTTGAAGTGAAAATTTAATCCATTTACAGTCTAGTGGGTCATTAATGTTGGTCAAGCACTTAAATTTGTATTAAGTGAGTGTGTGTGTGTGTGTGTGTGTGTGTGTGTGTGTGTGTGTGTGTTTCAGTGAGAAAGCAGAAAAGGTATGGTAAGGTATTACTAGCTTCTGTTTCATTTTACCTGTAATGCTAGCTCACTTGTTTTAAGTGTTCAGTATAAATTTGTTGAATGAGTGGATGAATGACTTAGTCTTCTTTGAGAATATTAGAAGAACCAACTGTGCTTAACCATTTATTATTATTATTATTGTTGTTGTTTCCAATATTATTGTCCTAGTTAGGTACTTTACAAAATATGTCCTGGGAGTACCATTCCATAAAATGTTCTGTGAAAAAGGGTTCCATGGACAAGTAATTTTGGGAACTGCTGCATTCTAAATCTTTCTCCTAGAAAGTCAACTAATATGTGAATATATTAAGGACCTCAAGAAGGCCTGCACTAACAAATCCTGTTTAAGTTTATTGAATTCAGAATTTCCCAAACGTACTTGATCACAGAAACCTATTCATATCCCATAAAACATATTTTGGTAAATGCTGCATCAATTTTTAGAAATTTTCTGAGTTCATTGTACACTGTCTCCACAAAGCAAACTTCAAATTTTTGAATCTGAATTGTTTCTTCAATCAACCAAAGAGATGTAAATTATGAATAAATATGATTAGAATGTCCAGATTTAAGTCAGGAATTGCTAACTCAGATGATTTTTCCATTCGATGTTTTGAACAAGATGTAATCCCAATAACCTTTTAAAAATGTATGCTAAGGGAATGGGGGATTGGAATGAGGGGTTGAGGGCAAATATGTGATACCTTAATCAATAAAGAAATTTTTTAAAAATTAAAAAAATGAAATAAAAATGTATGCTACTTCAGGCATTAAATTCATATATTTAAGAAAAGAAGATATTATTTGATACATTGAGCTGAGCGAGCCCATCACCCCAGGATATGGAAGCATTTTTATATTTGCCCTGAGCTCAGTAAGGAAGACAGCTGTCCTTACTACTTACACTAGGAAATAATCTAGGAAATAAACAGCTTTTCTATGAAAATGACATAACTGCGTAAAATAGGAAAACCAATTTTATTAGATCAGAGTATCAAATCCATTGTTGTATTCCTGCTTTATTTTTCTTTAATATCTGACTGAAGCTCAACTGGTCTTTCCTTTTGACACTTCATCAGATGAGATTCAAACGTGCTTTGTTAGTGTAATTGTTCACTGACTGCTTAAGAAACCTACTTTCTTTGGTTTGGTTTTAGTAACTAATGCTTCTCTCCTTGCTTTACCACTCCTCTCCATCCAAACACGTTGTTTTTCCCTCACATCTTTTAATAATTAATTTTGTTCTATTCTGCTTTGTTTTTTAAATTTAGAGTTTAATTCATGTGAATTTAGGAAATTTTTAAAAGAAAATTTGCATTTTAGAGTCTTTGGGGTCGTGGTGAGGAGGATGGTATGAGAAGAGATAGTGGGAAATAAAGCCTAGCAATCCTCATCTAGTCAGGTTCCCCACTGGCTTACCACGTCTGAAAGATCCAAGGGCTTATAGAGGAAATTCAGGAGCTCCAGTTCTTGAAATTTTTGTACATAAAAGTGTCTTATTTCCATAGATGCTTCTGAATAAGACCACTATCTTCAGACCTCTTTCTCCAGTTCACTAATATATCCTTTTTAAAGCCAACCATCCCAAATACTTATGTGCTTTTAGAATTAAAAGTGACATCTAGAAACACTATTTTAGCATTATATTACGAAAGCAATATTACCAAAAATGACTTTCAGAATTGACAAATAAAATCTAAATAAAAGATAATTGGCCATTTGTACTCAATTATAATAAATAAAATTTTGACTTTCACTTTATCTTCCACAGACAAACAGCAGAAAGGTGAATTTGCAATTGATGGCTACCACGTCAGGATGAATAACAGTCTTAGGAAGGATGCAAAGAAAGATTGCTGCTTTGAAATCGCGGCTCCTGATAAACGTGTCTATCAGGTTGGAGTTTCTAGGTTGTTTTGAAATTAAGTTGATAAAATGTTCTGATTTCATTTATAAAGACACTAACATTTTGTTGAAACAACTCTCCCTGACATGTTAATAATAAAAAATATTGGTTTTTATACATTGAACATTCATAGAAGAGGTAATACATTTTAAAAAATTCAGATTGGCTCAAGTGATATCTTCTTGAAAGAGAGCAAGCGAATATGTAATTTATCAGTTACCTCACATGTTGCATTTTATGTCTCTTTTAATAGAACCGTGTGATTTCTTAAAAGAATTGCGGTAAAATTATCAAGAGGAAACTATCAGAGTGTTAATGCAGATTGCATGGGTTGAGATTGTGGGAGAAAATGAAGGGAAGGGCACGGATCAGCTCTGCAATTCAGGAGCTATCAGTGAGCATCAATATGGAATGTATGTTTAATAAGTTTTAAATATCTGAGATTGCAGTTGAAAGCCAGTTAATTAAGTTGTCAGATAGTGTGTTGGAATCTGACAAGAACATTTTTAAGAAAACTGTACCCGGCAGTCTAAAGAAATTCATGGGTGTCTTCTAATTGTCAAGGGCAAATTTTGTTCGTCAGTTCTGTCTTTGACATTGATGAAGAGAAGCGGCTTTTTTTCCTGCACAGCTGCCAGCTGCTGATCAGAGTTTCAAATCCATCATCCTCTGCTTCAATTACGTAAATTTGTCAAAATTAACTGTACATTATAAGAAGCATCCTTGCAAGAAAAGTAGTACTAGACATGAAAAGAATTACTAATGGTCTTCAAGAAATGATAAGAATGGGACATTCTTTCGTTTCTGCTGTGGTGATTTTTCTTGTTATTGTTTTTTTTATTTTATTAGTTCACCGCAACTTCTCCCAAAGATGCCGAAGAATGGGTACAGCAGCTGAAATTTGTATTACAAGGTAAGAGTAAGCAATTGAACAAGTTATTGCAGCCTTTAAACACTGAGTACCTGAAGGATTTGTATTTTCGTATATCAAAAGCTTATTGAATTTGTGAGAAAGACCAAGGGAATATGACTGGTATTAATAACAGACCATTGACCGCAGATTTACAAAAGTATTCTGTAAGTTCCAATTGGCAATTTGAAATTCCCATATTTATGCACAAATCAATTTTTTTTAATGTTTTAAGTTAAGGATATAGCATATAATGATATTGTGATTTTGTAGGGCTACATTCATTTAGGAAATAGGGTTTTGAAAATCTCTTCTGTGTTTTTTACAAGTCATAAACAAGTAAGAATTCATGAGCTTAATGGCATTATACATTCAAGATGTTTGCTTCCCAAAACTTGTGTCATAGATATGGGATCTGATATTATTCCTGAGGATGATGAAGAAGGAGGAGAATTATATGATGATGTTGATCATCCTCTACCATCCAGCAGTTCTCCAGCCGGCAGTCAGCCAATTGATGATGAAATTTATGAGGAACTTCCAGGTATTTATTATCTGGTTATTCATTTAGGATTTGGGGACTTTTACTTATTTTTAATATCACCAAGTTGACAACTTAAGAAGAAAATGATGAGCTATTAAGAACAAGGACAAAGAGAACCTTTAAAATTCTATTTTCCAAAAAGAGTTCTGCTTGAGGTATTTCAAGTGAGTGAAAGTACACTTACGAAAAGTGAACGGAATGTTAAAGCAAAGCAGATACAGTCCTAATCTCACGGGACTTTTGGCTCATTAGCATTGTTTATGCTACATAATTTTTTAATTAAAAAATTGACTTGCTTTACAGTTTTTTCCACCAACTCACACATCATTTTTTATTTATACATCTTGAACTTCCATTAACCAGAAGTTCTACACACACCCCATATGTCAACAACTTCTGCCTCACGGATTCCTCCTCGCTCTAGTGTTTGGCATTGTCTTAGAGGAATATTGTTGAACTATAAACAAAGGCCCTTTAAAGCTCGGAGTTTTCTTATTTCATATTTTATCGATATGAATGTTTTCTTATTCTATGTTTTTAAGCAGGCTGTAGTGTTTGTATGCCTTGGTATCTGTACATAACAAAATTAATTGTCTATCACTTACAGTTTTAAGGGTCAACCTAAAATAGAAAGACAGGCATGTAGAACCTAGGATACTTAGAATATGAAAACATTCAGGCAATTATTGCATTACTCTAGCCCTTTTTCTGGCCATTAAAAATCTGCAGAGAATAAAAAGAATTATAAGCAGTATAATCCTTTAACATCATCTAGAGAGGCTATTTTTCCCTGAATAGAACAATTTAATGACACAGTGTAAACCTTAAAATTGATTTCAAAAATACTTAAAATGTTCCAAATGTACAAATGTCATTTTTATTGAAGTCAGTAAAGCATAGTAACTAGCACATGGACTTTAGAATCAGAAAGTTTATATTCTGGCTGTACCATCTAGCCCAGTTACTTTAAAAGTCAATTTTTTTCACTTATAAATGGGAAGAATATCATGGCAGGGCGGGGAAAGGGGAGCTAACGTATCTAAAGCTCTCAGCACCATGCTTGAATTATAGAAAGTCCACATTAAATTGTACATCACTATTATTTTCATTATTGTATCTGGTAAATTCTCACCAAGGCTTATATGAGGTTGAAGAATAATTTTCTGAACAAGAATTAGTGATTTAAAAAAATATGTTTTTATTGATTTCAGAGAAGAAGGGAGAGGGGGAGAGAGATAGAAACATCAATGATGATAGAATTATTGATCAGCTGCCTTTTGCACACCCCACACTGGGGATTGAGCCCACAATCTGGGCATGTGCTCAGACTGAGAATCGAGCCATGACCTCCTGGTTCATAGGTCAACGATCAACCACTGAGCCATGCAAGTCGGGTAAGAATTAGTGATTTTAATGGTATTATACATTCAAGATATTATAAAAACTACTCAAAATATATGTCTGCATATTGTCTTTCACTGCCCTAGAAGAAGACAATTATTGGAAAATAACAACCTGTATATTTTTGTTCATTTTAATGAGCTCTGAGTTTATAGCTCCACCTTTCTGATTTATCCTAAGGAAATTACATCTGCCATAGCATTAGTCATCCTCAAATAGGGAAGAATATTCTCTGCTTGCTTTTATCACGCCATATCATCAATACAATTATTTTAGTTTAAAAATGTTCTTAAGAGCTTGTGAGAATGTATACTGATGTCAAATGGAAGAGTATAATCTCTTTAAATATATTATTGTCGTGTACATTTCACTCCTTTAAAACCCTGCAATGGATGGTCACATCACAGTTGTTAATTAGCTGTCAATTAAGTTGTGTTTCTTCATCTTGATCATTCTCTCCTCACCCTCCCAAATAAAATATTGGTAAAGAATAAAGATCAAATATTCATTGTAATAAAGGCCCAGTGAAAACCTCCTGGAAGTAGCTTAAAATCTTAAAAATATGAAGCATCTTGTATTTTCTCTCACTACAGATGTTCTTCTCTCCCCCACCCCCATTTTTTTTTTTTTTTGGCCTGGGGCCATATGATTGTTGGAAAAAACTGGTTACTCTTTAGTCTTATTTCTTGCTGAGGTACTGGGAGGAACCTAAACTAAGCTGCTCTGGGATCCCGTGGCCCTGCCTGGGCTCCCAGTTGCTGTACAAAGTGATTGAGCTTGTAGGGCCTGCAACTGTGCCCCGGGAAGGAAGCTGGTGCAGGCAGCTGAGGAATGTCTGATCTTTCTCCCCGTGGAACCCAGACCCGAGTCAGCATCCACACAGTTCAAGTTTGTCAAGTTTCAGCCCGTTTGCTACAGAAGGGGTTTTTCTTAGTGAAAGCCCTACAGTTGTCTCGTAGAGTTAGAGCTTTTGTTTAATCATTAAATAATTGCATATTTAAATTTAATTTAATAATTAAATATCTAAACCTAGAAAGGCAATTTTTTTCCTTTAAAAAGAAAAAAATTCTGCCTCCAGGATAAAAATTAAGCTAATTGAACTTAGGTGAAATAGGAATATAATTCTGAGAGAAAGTGAAAACAGTAGAAAAGCAGTGAATATTATTTACAAACTGTTGGTGTTTTTCCAGTTCTGTACAAAGAACTGCATTTCTCAGAAATCTGACTGGTTACATTCCCAGAATTAAAAAATATGACCATTTCAACACAACTTTCTGTCTGTTACATCTAGTTGAAAACTAATCCCCTTAGTTGAAAGATAAAGCTTATAGTATGTTTGAAGAAAAATTTAAGCGTTCAATATATATTACTTTAAATCACAGAGTTGTACTGAGAAAGTACAGCTCTTATTCTAATTAATGTATTTTAATGTAAAATAAACCTGCAGAGTTTAAGTCTCGAGAGTAAGAAGAAAACACTGTTTTAAAAAAATTGTATTGCAAAATATCCCTTGAAAAATGTTTATAATCTATGGAAGTATAAGTAGTTTCATTGTAATTGTTTTTCAGTTAGAATATTCTAACTTTATTATAGCAGCTTCTCTTTAATTTCTTGTACATTAATTTTTAACTAACTCCATAAAAGAATAAGAATACATTTTTAAGATTTCTTTGCATTTAGGGGATTTTCCATATGTAGAGAAGAGTTGAGAGTGCCAGATTTTTGGGGAATATTAAAAGTATGTACCTTTTCTTCAAATACCCTACTGTTTTGACACCTTTTATGTCTTAGGACCTATTAACACAGGCCAAGTCAGGTTTGCTTACATTGTGATATGACTCTAGCATGTTTGTGTATGCAGAGCTAATGTATTGATCAAAGGGCATTAAACTGTCCCATAACACAGTAATGAGTTCATTTGGCTTAGCACGAATTTCAGGAATAATCGCTCACTTTTTTCCATTAGAAATGTGAAGGAGCATTTTTATTTGAGTTTTGAATCTTGAAAGCAGAAAATGGTACATGGAAAATTGCCGCAGAAATTAACCCAACTTGATCATCTTTTCTAGTTACCATGTCACTTGATTTTTTATTTTTTTTATTTTTTATGTCAGGAAATTATACAGAAGCAACAGAAACAAACAAACAAACAAACAAACAAAAAAGATTTTTCTAGGTGTGGATTGAATAGAATTAGCCCAGGAACAAGAATGGAAACCACTCATTAGTCTATTAATCTGTAGCTTTCAGGGGAATTGCATTTGAAATCCTTCTGGCAAGAGGAGTAGAGGGGAGGGAGCAACATTAAGCAGGAAGACAAATCTCCAATTCCATTAACCTGTTTTTTAAAAGCGTTAATTCATTCCTTTTTAAAAATTTTTAATGACAGATTGAGCTATTCTGAGCCAGAAAAGGATGTTTTTTCTCCTTTGATCATTCAATTTTATTTTAAATTTATTCAGTCCAACTATCTGTATTGAAAGTGGAGTATGAAGCAAAAGGCAGCTGTTAATTTTTTTTTTTTTTTTGCAGTAAAACTCTTATGTATACATAAAAAAGAACAGTTTGGGTATTTAAATTTGGAGTACTCTTCAGCAAGTGGACACAAATGCTAACATCATCAATAAGTAGTTAAAACTCCTAAAATACATTCCAGCTCTATTTTCTTGCTGAAAGATGATCAGTCATATTACCAAGTTAATATATGCCTCTAGTAATAACATCATTATAAGTGATGGTAAGTTCTGGTTTCACCAAAGAATTTTTTTTTTATTCTTTCTTTAGAATTCAATGGGAAGATCCCAGTTGACTTTCATGGAACCACATATATTCATCATTTTAATATGTTAATTCAGACAGTCTGCTGGCCATTCCTTTTTTTCTAAACTATAGTACTGAATTATAAAGTTATAATATATGGTGTGACTAATTTTTTTCCACAAGTAATTAACTAGATGAGAGTCCATTTTTTTGATTGTTTTAGCTCTGAACTCTGCTGAGAGGGTTTTCTGAAGTTATAGAATATAAGGGTAACGTTTATAAATTAGGGTCACTGCACACATCTAATTGTTTATATTTTTATCTTTGTTGAGTATAATGTGGTTTTAGTGTTATTATAGAGTTGCCGATTTCATCTAATTTATCTATATATGAGGATGCACTTTTTAGTACATATACAATACTCATGGAAACGGACGGTATAAAAGTTCACAATTGAAATCTCAACACATTTTAATGAATCTGTATCATACACACTATGTTCTTTAATTGCAATGAAATTTAATTAGAAATCAACACTGAAAAGATAGAATTATCCACGTCCCCCTATGTTTGGAGGCTGAAGAATAATCTTCTATAGACCTCTTGAGTTTAAAGAGGAAATCACAGTGGAATTTACAATGTATGCAGTTCTGAGAGATGATGAAAACAATGCAGATAAAAACTGGTGGCCCAGTGCTTTACCCATAGTTCCAGGGAAATGGGGATGAATAAGACATATGAGAATTATCCCTTAAAGAACAGGAGATGAGGGAACAACCAGAAAGAAAGAAAGAAAAAAGACTATAAAATAAGTGTGTTTAAAATGATTAAAGAGAACA